CAGTATCTAAATAAAAATTAAGAGAAAGAGATTTGGAGGTTACTTTAAGGCCCTTTGAAAAAAGTGGGTAAGAGCCACTTTTCATGGAACCAAACTTCCTCCAGAAAGTCAGTCAACATTCAGTTAGTTTGTAGAATAGATGTCTTAGGTGTTTGGCTTTTGGGTGATTCATTATATAGTATGTTTGTGGTGATAGTTAACTGTAGTATCATTTCTTAGAGTTCCAGCAGAGTAACCCAGTTCCAGTATTCCACCTATGCTTTGAGGAACACTAGACAAAGACTAATACTTCAGTTGTTGGGGAAATTCCTGTGTTATTTTTGAAATAAAAAGAGCTAAAATGCTTGAAAATTTGTTAATAGTAGTGAGAGGTAGATTCTCATCCATCAGCAGCACATTCATAAGTCAGGCATTGACTAATATTGGAATTTTCATGATTAACTTGATATAGTGCTGTTGGGCAGGTTTTTTTAGTTATGTTTTGTATTTGCATTCATACTATAGTCACTATTCAAGTACTGCTTCTGAGCGCTTAAAAGTGTGGTCAGTGAGACTGAAATGAAATAGCTCAATCTGTAATATTTAATTTTGCATATTTAAATATTCACAGGTATCTATTGGACTGCAACAGACAGAAACAGTTTCTCTTTGGGGCTGCTGAGGAACCGTCCTGCTTTTAATTTTTATTTATTTATTTGTTAATGTAGGAGTACTGGTATTTATTCAGCCACTGATTGGCTGATTGAATTGTGCATGAACTCCGCCTTACTTTTTTTAAATTTTTTATAATTTTATTTTTTGAATCATCGTGAGAGCAGTTACAAAGCTTTCGGGTCTAAGTCTCAGTCATACAATGAGATACCCGTTCCTTCACCAGTGCCCATTCTCCACCACCAAAAACCCCAGTATATCCCTATCCCACACCCTCCCCCTACCTGTGGGGCAGATGATTTCCACATTACTTTCTCTGTACTTTTATCACATTCAATATTTCGTCACCAGACCCACCATTATTATTTGAGATTTTACCCCAATACTCAGATCTGCTGAAAAGGCAACAGTAGGCAATTTGTGTTCTATTGCTGGTTATGAATAACACATGATATCGCGTGGCTGCAGTAGGGCCATGTGGTTTTGAAATTCCGAAGTTTTAACACTTAAATCTGGAGGGATTTCTGCCAAAAGCCACTGGGTTTCGAGATTTGCTCCTGAGTCTCTGGGATCATGGCTGTTGAGCAGCTTGATCAGGAGCCAGAGAGGCCATTCGTGGGCAATGACTTGGGGTCTCGTTGGGGTGGGGAGACCAGGACCGGCTCCACCCCCATCCCGTGAGGCCCAAAATGTCTCGTCACTGTGGGCCCAGACCTGACTGTCCAGTGGCCTCTGAAGGATGGTGGCCACCAGGCCGCCCCGGCGGAACAGGCCAAGGCACAAAATCCATTCCCACCTGGGTTGACCCTGCACCAGTAATCTACTGCAGGGACCGGACGCATTTCTGCCAAAAGCCGCTGGGTTTCAAGATTTGTTTCTGAGTCTCTGGAATCATGGCCATTAAGCAGTTCAATCAGGAACCAGAGAGGCCATGCCTCTAATTATATAGCTGAGCTGGAGGAGGTTTGTGGGCGTGTTTCCCACATACCTAACTTTTGGCCGTTTACTTTCTTGGTAAACTTTGCCCCAAGTTTTTAGGGTCTGGCCAAAGGCACAGCAGCAATTTGGGAATATCTGGAAATCTGAAGGCGCCATCAGGCTGCTGGTACACTCACCTCACAGGTACAGATTGGCCTGCTGGCGGCACCATACCCCTGACCATCCTGCTTTTAAATCACTAGGCCATCATGTTCCCAACAGTGTAGGAGCTTCAGTAGGAAGAGACGTTACCTTCCTAATAGTATTAGGTCATTAATATTGTTGTGCTATTCCAGGTTTCTATTTCCTTGGAACAACTTATTATTTATATTTTGTTAGGCAGTTACTTTGAGGGGGGAATAGCAACACACCCAGCAGTGCTCTGGGGTTACTCCTGCCTCTGTGCTTAGGAATCATTCCTGACAGTTTGAGGGAGCATAAGGGATAGCCAGGATGAAATCCACTTCACTGTGTGCAAGGAATGCTGTACTCTGTCCAGAGCCAGGCGTTAACCTTGTCATCTAGACTTTTTTTCAAGTTTATTAGAATAATAAACTGTGCTATCGCTGGAGCGATAGCACAGCGGTAGGGCGTTCGCCTTACAAGCGGCCAACATGGCCGACCCGAGTTCGATTCCTCCGCCCCTCTCGGAGAGCCCGGCAAGCTACCGAGAGTATTCGATATGCCAGACACAGTAACAACAAAGTCTCCAATGGAGACGTTACTGGGCCCGCTCGAGCAAATCGACGATCAACGGGAGGGCCTTTACCTTTACCTTTACCTTATTAGAATAAAATATTCTCAGAATTTTTAAGCATAATAGTGTTTGTATTTTGATTTTTACACAACATCAGGTAGTGTTTAGGAGGCACTCCCAGCTCAGTGCTTGGTTGGTGATAGCTCCTGGCAGTGCTCAGACCATGTGATACGAGGATAGAACTGGGCGTTGGGTTTGAAAGCAGTGGCTCCAACCCATTGAGCTCTCGCTCCTCCATCTCTTAGGATTTTTAGAGCTCTTCTGTTTCTACTTCTGTTACGCTTTCAAAAATCTACTGTAAGGTATACTTTACATATAATTGAACAAGTTTAAGTGTATAACTAGAAGAATTTTGACAAATATATATACAATCATATGATCTCTAGAGTATTTCCTACCTGCTACTGTGCTATTAATGACCTGTTTCCACTTCCTGGTCCTTAGTGATCACTGATAACATTCCACTACTAGATTTTTTGTTTAGCTTAGAGTTTCGTATAGATGAAATGTTATAGCATCCGGCTATCTTCATAATACCTAGAACCTGGAAGATGACTCTATAGCTTCAAACCTGACAAGTCAGAGGCCTTGAATTCACATCCCTGTGTTGCCCAGCACCAGCCAAGTTGATTCTGAGAGCTTTGTTCTAGGATCCCCAGTGACACAGTGCTTGGAAGATAGTTCAGTGGTTTAAAAATGTCCCAGGGCACGGGAGGTGGTGGGCTTTATTCACTGCATTAGCAGAGTTGATCCTGACAGTCCCTTTGTTTGGGATCTTTGGGGAGAAAATAATCAATTCTTGTTTTATGTACTGTATATCACAGTGATGTCTACTATTTGTTTATTCACCAGATGATACACATTTTAATGTTCATATTTTCATCAATAAAATATTGACATTCAAGTTTTTAAGTGATTATTGTGAACTTGTTTTATTTACTTTCAGTAAATAACTAAGAATAAAATTACTTGGCAGTGAGGAAAGTGTTTTCTTTTTAAGTGGGTTGTTCATGACTGGTTTCAGTCATATAATATCCAATACTTGTCCATTCACCAGTTTACATTTTCTAACTTTTTTTTAAAAGTTTCTTTTAATAAGAAATGGACAGGCTTTCTCAAAGTAACTTAAATTGGAGTGTTTGAGGATTCTGTTCTAATTTACTCCAACTCTATTTCAAATTTTTATTATCCTGACATTATAGTTTCTTATGGTATTTGAATTGAATTTTCATATACTTAATAACTCAGAATGATGAAAATATTTTTATACATTTTTGCTATGTGAATATTTTTAACTAAGTGCTCATTCAAAAAAATTTTACAAGTAAGATTTCATCTTCAGGTTGATTTTTGTGAGTTTATTATATACATATAAATCCTCCGTTAGATATTTGTTCAGTAATATTTCCTTTCTCTGTCTTGCTCTCTGTAGTGTTGCCTTTCTATAGTGTTGTTTTGTTTAATTTGGGCCACATCTAGCAATGCTCAGGGAGTTACTCCTGGCTCTGCACTCATGAATCACTCCTGGCAGTGCTCTGGAGATCATATGGAATGCTAAGCATCGAACCCTGGTTGGCCTCGTGCAAGACAAGCACCCTCTCCATTTCACTATTGCTCCAGACCTCACTGTACTTTTGTTCCAGGCCCCACTATTCTAATAGGCTCGGGGCCTATTAGTATTTTTTTTTCCTGTTCAGTTTGATTTTTTTTCAATAATGTCAAGTAAAAAGTTACTGTGGCTGCACCCATTTACTATTAGTATTTTTTTTTAAAGAGCCAAAGTAATTTTGATGAAATGGTAATTTTCTTAAAAGCCTCTGCTTTCAATGCTCGTAATGTTTTTTGCCAGATCCAAAGCCACTTAGACTTTTTACCTTTTCTTTTTTCCAAAAATATTTTGGACTTAGCTTTTATATTTCATATTATTACTCATTTTAAGTCCATTTTTATATGGGAATTTAAAATAAAAAGGTTCTCGCGGGGGAGGCGGGGGGGGAGTTGTTTTTATTTCAGATAAGAAAAGTTGAGGTTTAAAAAGCCTGGGTAAAGAGCCAGAGAAGTAGCACAGTGGGGAAGGCAGTAGATTCGTGCACACCTGAACGGGGTTTCACCTCTGACACTCCATAAGGTCCCCCAAACCTGCCACGAGTGATCACTGAGTGCAGAGCCAAGAGGAAGCATTGAACATAGCCCACTAGTGCCTCAAAACAAACAAAAACAGGAAGATAAAAGAAAGCTGTAAGCTAGGAAGAGTAGATTACCCTAATTGAGTCTATATTAGAATTTACTTACTGTCACTCTGGTCCCTAAATGTACTTTGAGAATTTTATGCAGTTTATATTAAATTTATTTACTGGACATGGATTAAACTAATAGATGACCCAATGGCATGTTGAATGTTACCTCGGGGGAAATCGGCTAACCATTATTTTGTTTTGAATTTATGACTAATGAATTCCTTAATTTAAAAAAAAGTCATTTCTCTGAAGATTCATGTTCTGTGTGTAGAGTATTAGTTTATGCTGAATTTCTCACCTGTAATTATTTTAATACTAAAATCCCCTCTTAGAATATCTACTATTGCGTTTGTTTTCTAGAATTCATATTTACCAACCAAGAGTACGTAAAAATGAGCAGCCGACGGAAACGCGCTCCTCCAGTGAGAGTAGATGAAAAAAGGCAGCACCACATTCAGTGGAGTATACGTGAAGCCAGAAGGAGTGTATCTCCTGTAATTGATGTGGAGATCCCTTGTTCAGACTCTTCTGATTCCTCCTTCTCAGATGATAGTTCAAGGGAAGAAGTGGCACATAGAGATAAGAGGAGGTGCTCAAAGTTGGCAAGTCGCTCAAAATCACTGAGTAAAGCAGAGGCTCGTCCCATTTTCATCCCGTTGGCTGTTGTGATTTCTCCTTACTCATCCGATAATTCTTGGAAAGCCTTTCTAGGAGAATTCACTCTTCAGCTTCTTCCTGAACAGACTTTAATCGAAGATTTTTCCCAAAGAGGTTTTACTCTGAAGAACTCGGAATCAAGCAGTCAGCTCCTGATCTATGTTCATTCAGAATGTGAAGATGTAGCCAAAAACCAGAAGGAATGCAAAGAGACTATCAGTATTAGTGAGGAAGGGATTCAAGTGGATTCATCTGTCAGTGGTGAAATGTTGCAAGATTTGGACTGGCTACAAAAGAAGAAAAGAATTAAACTTTATTACAAAGCAGAAGAAAATCACATTATCAAGGTACTCATTTTCTGTGGTATCTTTTCAGTTCTTTCACAATGGCAAGAAGTTATATATGGGTACTAGGGATTCAACCTGGGTCAGCCTTGTGCAAGGCAAGAATGTTACCCACTGTACTATCTTTCTAGCCTCTGATTGTTTTTTTTAAGTGAAAAAAATATGTAAGAATCCTGGTGATTTAAGGAGCCATATTTCGGACAATAAAAACTACTGAAATTGCATTGAATCTCAAATAGACATCTCCATTTTTCAATTGAGGACATTTGGATCAAATGATAATCAATTTTTTGGCCTGTTTTTGAGCTCCTGAATATTTTGGCTGAAAAACTTTATACTGTTTCCCTAGGCATTTTGGTTATTCTAATGAGGTTTCCCATCCACAATAAGAATCCATACATGTGCATCAGAACCTTCTGTGGGAATCCAACTTTTAACCAGTTTCACTAATAATTCTGATGCTCATTAAATTTGGAGATCTTGACTTGGTTTTCGCATCCTGTTCAGTTCTATTTAGGATAAGAAAGTATACTTTTCTAGCAACTTGAATTGGTATCACATGCAGTAGGAATGACGAAGAGCTTGTTTTTAAAATAAATGTAGACAGTATGAGAGATTTGGTAAATATTTAGTGTTTGTGGAACAAATACTGTGAATTCCTTTTAAAACACTAATGATTTTATTATTTCCCAAGAGGTGGTATAAGACAGTTAATAACTTTTTGTTTTTTTTCCTTACAGGTTGGAATTTATCTCTTGGAAAGTGGACTATCTAAATTAGACTTTCTGAGTGAGGCGAATTCAAAAATGAAAAAGTTCAATCAACTCATGAAGCGAGTGATGAAAAATTTATACAGTTTTATTATTCCAGGTAATTTTTAGGATAAGCATTAAAATTTTACTTCTTAGGAGTTGCAGTTTTTCTCCCAACTTCTATAAATAGCAATCAGAATAACTGCTATAGCCATTATAAACATTAAATCTTCCTTGGTTTTCGGCCACATTCTACTGTTTCAAGGCTTACTCCTGGCTCTGAACTCTGGGATCACTTTCGATTTGTTTGGGGGACCGGATGGGCTGCCAGGGATCAAACCTGGGACTAAGGCAGGCACTGTGCCCTTTTAACTTTTTATTCTGACCCTCATTATATAAAGACTTCACTAACTTGTTTTTCAACGCTGCCTAACTTACAGTAGGTACTCAAGTACTATTTGTTGATTCACTGGGTAGATTTAGAAGGAATCTGAACTCATTAAAATTGTTGCCTTAATTCCTGTGCTTTTATATTTGTCATGAGCAGATTGGTCCTTATTTCACCTCTGCTTTGCAGTCTGAAGAATACTCTCCAGAATGCTTCTTATAAAGACCAGTTGACTTTGCTCTGTTCCTTGACAGTGTTTTATACTTGGTTAGGTCTGGAGTTTCTGAGTGGTCTGCCTCTGGTTCCCAAAGGATAGTATGGATAATTTGGTACGCATCAAATAGAAAAATTATTCCTTTTCTCCAGGTCCTGCTTGGGTGGGTCAGCTTTATTTCAGGTGCAAATTATGAAACATTTTCCTTTCTCTGGCCCTCTGGTCTTGAGTATTGAGTTCATTCTGCAGTGCGGTCTTTATCAAACTTTGTGTTAATTTTGCATGTTGAAGTATTGAGAGGAATTGTCTGGTTGCAAATGGGATAGAATGCTTTTTAAATGCATTCTTTTTTTTTTTTTAAAGTAATCCTTTTTCTGCCTTTTAAAAAGAGTATCTTGAGCTTTTCAAAGGAAAACTACGAATTTAATTTTCATTTCTAGATTATATAACAATAATAACAGCCCAAAATAATCAACCATATAACTACTCATTGGTTGTGAAGTCTCAAGACTCCTAACATATTTTTATTTAAAAAAAAAATATGTGGACCAGACAGATAGTATAAGGGTTAAGACATTTGTCTTGAATGCTGCCAACTCTGATTCTATCCCAGGGCCCATAAGTTTCTGAGGAGTGATGTGTGAGCAGTGAGGCAGGACTTTGCTCTGAGCACTGCCAGAGGTGGCTCAATATCCTCCCAGTTCCCCTTCCCCCCAAAAAAATAAATTACATATTTTGTGGTGAGGCTGCTAAAATCTCAGGGCTGGGACAAATGAGACATTACTGGCATCCACTTGAGTAAATTGATGAACAACAGGATGACAGTGATATAGGGGTTTTGTGGTGCAATGTTTTGTTCTTTATCATATGAGGTAGGTTCTATAATACTCTGTTAAGACTTCAAGAAACCACTTGGAAAGAAATCATCAGTTAAATGAGGTTTGTCAATTTCATCAAGATTTTAACGTTCTTCCTATTATGGTAGGCATGAATCATTTACAGGGCAATTGTGCCCCAAAAAGCTTATCACAGCGGCTTCAGCGTTTATCTCCTAATTGACTACTGCTGAATATATATTTTTTAAACAAAAGAAATAAAATGAGAACCCTTGTCATTGACCTAGAAGAATTACATCTGGTCAGAGAGAGAACACGCACGTGTTGCGTTCTTGTAAAACTTTGCATGCAGGAGGCCTGGATTCAGTCCCAGACACTGCATCACTGCAGGATGTCCAGAGTACTGTGTGGTTAAAAATAGAAACAAGCAAAAATTTATATCTACAAATAAAGATTTTCTCACGATATAAAAGTGAAGCAAGTTAACTTTTTTAAACTGCAAATGATACAAATATAACTGATACGTTTATTAACTATGTCTAGTAGTCAGGGCTAATGAGACATTATTGTTCAGTGGTTAAAGAGTGAGTACACATAGTTATTGTACCACTAGGCAGATTGCAGTGGATTATTACATACAGCTGGAAGCTGGAGCGATAGCACAGTGGGTAGGGCATTTGCCTTGCACGCGGCCAACATGGCCGACCCGAGTTCGATTCCTCCGCCCCTCTCGGAGAGCCCGGCAAGCTACCGAGAGTATTAGTATATGCCAGACACAGTAACAACAAAGTCTCCAATGGAGACGTTACTGGGCCCGCTCGAGCAAATCGATGATCAATGGGAGGGCCTTTACCTTTACCTTTATTACATACAGAGTATAAGAGTATTGCAACAACATTGTGGCCACCAAGTTTAAGTAGCAAAAATGAAATGTGCCATGGGTAGAATAGCAGTTGGGCTATCTTTAAAAATGAAAGTTTTTTATCGGTGAATAATGACTCTTCCAGATAGAAAGCACGCTAGGCACGTTTTCAGAGATGGGAGAATGCATGGTAATGTTCATGAAATAAGAATTGCATGTGACTTCAAAAGGGAAGTTGGGTCATTTTGAATGCATTTATTATTGCATGTACAGACGTATTAGAAGATGAAGATGATTCAGATAGTGAAGCAGAGGGACATGACATTGATGACCTTTATCGCTTTGTGAAGCAAGCCCACCAGCAAGAAACACAGTCTGTCGAAGTGGATGTGCAGCATCCTGCATTGATTCCTGTGTTGAGACCCTATCAAAGAGATGCCGTCAAATGGATGCTACAGCAAGAGCATTTCCGGAGCACTCCTACTAGTGGCAAGTATAAGATGCTTGCAGGAAAGACAGCATCAGCAGAAAGCAGAGATCATGGGGGGGGGGGGGGGGTAGGATTGATCAAATCATGTTGAAAAGATAGAATATTTTTGTTAAAATTATTTTCGAAGAAGTTCTTTATAGAGAAATAAAAAACTTAGTTTTCCCATCCACCAACATTTGAACTCATTTTTCTTCTCAAAATAAAGGCTGTCTTCATTGAAAATTTTTGAAACCAAGAAATTATACATGAAGTGAGTTTTCTGTGTAACTGTAATACAGTAAAGTGCACAGATCTGAGTGAAAGGGTTTAATAAATCTTGACAAATCTGTGCATCTGTGTAACCAGCAGCCTAATTAACATTTAAAACTAGACTTTCTCTAAAGTAACATTTGTTTCTTGTAACTTGAAATGTGACTCTCCAATATGACTTGTGCTGTAATAGTAATATACAAGAGATTTGAACTAGTACCTCCCAGAAAAAAAATAATCTCAGTAGTGATTATATTGATGATTGCATTTGAAATAATACTTTGGTTATATTGAGCTAAGATAGTTGTGAAATCAATTTTACCTGTTTCTGTTTAATATTTACACCCAAGAATATACATAAAATATTTTTAAAATCCCAGAAACTTCCTAGTCAGTTTTTTCCTTTTGAACTCACTGTCACTATACTTTAGTGTTGCCTGTTTTTAAAAAAATAAAAATTGCAAAGACATATGTATACCTTTCAGGATTAATGTGAGAGGGTATTTGTCTTCTTTCAAAATGTTTTTAAGATTAATCTGTGCCGTTATCAGTGATTTGCTCTTTTTCATTTGCATAATTGATATCATTGATTAAATCCCCTTGTATCATTTAATAGCTCTGATGTCCCTCTGGTTTTCATACATTGAAACTTTATTCTGTTTTGTGACAACACCCTGCAGTGCTCAGAGCTTTCTCCTGTCTCTGCTTAGGGATTACCCCTGGGAGAAGGGGCTCTTGTCACCGGACCATATGTGGTGATGCTAAGGATTGAACCCTAATTGACTGGGTGCAAGGCAAGCACCTGCACTGTCTTTCTGGCACCAAAATATGTTACCTTTAGTATTTTCCTTTTATGAACCATGTCTACCTGTTTCATCAATTAATCTGTAAGGAAACTAAGAAAATTAATTGCTGTAAACAAACTTCCTATTTGGCAGTGGCTTAAACAGTATTCTAAAATGTTAATTACAAAATGTTGGTTGAAACAAACTCAGTCCTTCACTGTTAAAGTTTCAGAGGTTTTTCCTTAGTTGAAAAAGACTTGACTTGGGCCTGTCTGAAAGCTTAGGTCTGCTGAGAGTAAATGTGTTTTAGCCCACTGTAATATGTCTGTTGAATTATTTAAAAACAGTTATTTGAAGTATTTTTAAGATAAAAATTGCTGTCAGTCCTGTGTTAATTTTTCTTCTCATAATCTGTTACTTGCTATACTGGGTTTTTCTGTCTTAACACTTGCTTATGTGGGAAATACTTGTGCCAAGCAAAGGAAGCTAAGGCATATAATTGTCTGAAAACAAGAATGAGGTGCGTTTTCTTCATGTGTCTGACACCTCTCAGAATATCTTGCTAATTCTTTTTTTATTTTAATTTGATAATCCAACAGAAAGCAAAACTAAGACTTTTTATTTTTTTATTATTATTTATTTATTTATTAATTTTTTTTTTAGAAAATTCCCTGCACTACTTATGGCGAGAAATAGTTACACCTGAGAATTTGAAGCTCTACTATAATCCATACACAGGCTGGTAAGGCAAAACTTTCTTTTGTGAAAACCTGTATGATTGCTAATGTGTGTCTTTGCCCTTGTTGGTACTACCTTGAAAATACTAAGGTTAGTCACATTAGATATTTTTATAAGTTGTATAGATATAAAATTAATAACATTTAAAATTTTTTAGTAAATGCAGTATGGTAGATTTAAGATGTTGGGCTGGGGGGGCCAGAGCCATAGTACAGCAGGCAGGGTGTTTGCCATAATTTGTTTTAAGTCATTTCAGAAATAAAAGCCGGCTTTTACCAACTCTTGTAAGATGGTTTTGACGGACAATACCCACAGAAGAGATGCTTAAGGACCGAGCAATAGTATAGGGGGTAGGGCGTTTGTTGTGCATGCAGTTGACCCAGGTTCGATCACCGGCATCCCAAATGGTCCGCCAGGAGTAATTCCTGAGTGCAGAGCCAGGGTAACACTGGATGTGACCTAAAAGGCGGGAGGGGGTAGGGGGAATCCTGGGCCAGAGAGGAAGTACAGGAGGGAAGGTGCTTGCCTGCCTTATATGCTGCTGGTCCAGTTCCATCTCTAGCACCTCCAGATGTGACGCAGACACCTCCACACCGCCCATAAAAAAAGATGCTTACTTACTGATACTTAAAGAGATAAAAATTCTTAAGTAAAACATTTTAGTGCACTTTTTTTTCCTTCGTTAAAATTGACCAATTTCTGGGCTGGAGCAATAGCACAGTGGATAGAGCTTTTGCCTTGCACGCAGACAACGCGGATTCAATTCCCAGCATCTCATATGGTTCCCTGCATACCGCCAGGGGTTATTCCTGAGTGCAGAGCCATAAGTAACCCCTGTGTATCGCCGGGTGTGACCCAAAAAGCAAAAAATAAATAAATGAATGAATAAAATTGATCAATTTCTATTATAAAAGAGTGTTATGAGTGTTAAACTTGATAGTGAATCAGTAGTTATTGGCCTTATTTTTTAGTTGCAAATTAAAGTCACGAAATAAGGCAAATGTGTTCTATATATAGAAGACTAAAGATAATTTTCCAGTATCACTTCTGTTTCTATAGACTTGTCAGCTCAGCCAATGTTTTAATTAGCACAATTTTTACTACTTATAACCTATAGATTTGTTGTTTGTAAAATGTGGTTTTTAGAAGACACACGCATTTCTCCAGTTCTATTTAGATGCCATGAAATTCTTGCTTATGTTCCTATGATGTGTTTTTCTTGATTTTTTTCCTTTAGCATTATCCGTGAGTACCCAAGTGCTGGCCCACAGTTGTTTGGTGGAATCTTAGCGGATGAAATGGGTCTTGGAAAGACAGTGGAGGTTTTGGCTCTGATTCTGACACACATTCGAGAGAATGTCAAGCAAGATGCTCTCACTCTTCCTGAGGTAGGATATGGGAAAAAAGCGTCATTCATATGTTCTCAAAAAGCATCATATGTTGAACATTTGCATGCCACTTTAGTCAATACTTGCAGTCCACTCTGCAGCTAATTACTTAAATTAGTTGTTACTTAACTTCAGTGAGCAAGAAATGGGATGTTTGGAACTGGCATGGTTATTTTTAAGTGATGTTTGACTAGAAAGCGGATATGCTGTTACTAACCTGGCTTCCTTATAGTTGACAGGTAAAAATCCCTGAAAAAGCAAGTATTATTACTTAAACATATTGTCACTATTAAAAATCTCTGTATTGAGACTGGAACACATTCAAAAGAACAAAAGCAACCAGTGCTGGCGTGGATGTGGGAAAAGGGGACACTCACTGTTGGTGGGAATGTCCACTAGTCCAGCCTTTCTGGAAAACAAAATGGACAGTCCTTCAAAAACTAGAAATTGAGCTGCCATCTGACCCCACAATACCACTTCTCGGAATATATCCCGAGAATGCAAAAAAGCACAGTAGAAATGACATCTGTACCTACATGTTCATTGCAGCACTGTTCACAATAGCGAAAATATGGAAACAACCCAAGTGCCCCAGAACAGATGACTGGTTAAAGAAACTTTGGTACATCAACACAATGGATTAATATGCAGCTGTTAGGAGAGATGAAGTCATGAACTTTGCTTATAAATGGATAGACATGGAAAGTGTCATGCTAAGTGAAATGGGTCAGAGAGGGAGGGACAGACAGAGAAGCACTGCACTCATTTGTGGAATATAAAAAAACATGAGGCTGACACCTAAGGATAGTAGATAACATGGTACAGGAAGATTGCTCCATAGCTGGAAACCTGCCTCATGAACAAAGGGGAGAAGGCAGCTGGAATAGAGAAGGGATCACAAAGAATATGATGGCTTGAGGAACCGGTTGGGATGGGAGACGTGTGCTGAAAGTAGATCACTGTCACTGTCCTCCCATTGTTTATCGATTTGCGGGCCCAGTAACATTGGCATATCGAATACATCATGGGTAGCTTACCAGGCTTTGCCTTGCAGGCAAGATACTCTTAGTAGCTTGCGGGGCTCTCCGAGAGAGGTGGAGGAATCGAATGCAGGTCGGCCGTGTCAGCTGCGTGCAAGGCAAACGCCCTACCCGGTGTGCTATGGCTCCAGCCTGCTGAAAGTAGATAAAGGACCAAACATGATAACCTCTCAGTGTCTGTATTACAAACCATAATGCCTAAAAGGAGAGAGAAAATATGAGGAATATGGTCTGCCATGGAGGCAGAGGGTAGGTGGGAAAGGTGGGGTGTACCGGGGATATTGGTGGTGGGGAATGTGCACTGGTGGAGGGATGGGTGTTTGATCATTGTGTGATTGTAATCCAAATAATGAAAGCCTGTAACTATCTCACGGCGATTCAATAAAATTAAAAAAAAAAAATTCTGCAATGCCTCTTAGCATCAGATAGTTTCAAATTTAATAATAAAAAGTTAGTTATAATTTAATAATTCAAATGTTATTAAAGAATTGGTGACTTTAATCATTAAATTGTTAGATGGAACAAACTGAGTCCTTATTCCAAAGTACATAATTGAGCTTAAAATTTTATGTTTACTTTACAATCTAGGACAGCGCGAAAGGATGGTGCATATGAGGCCCTGAGTTTGATCCCCGGCCCTATTGTCTCCCACACAACCCCAGCATTATTGGACTAAATGTTGGTTTGGAATGACCCCTAAGCCCTGGGTGCTAGTAGGATATAACTGTCTGTTATACTGTTATGCTTAATAATATACCCAAAAGCTTGCTTCATGTGGAATCTTTTAATAAGAACAGTTTGCAAAATTAGCCGTTTAGATGAATAGAAAATACGTATTCCCTTTGTAAAAAAAAAATGAGAATTGTTTTAACTGATTAATAAACTTGTTTGGAATTTTCACTATTAAATATATTCTTAATATATTCTTAGGGGCTGGAGTGATAGCACAGTGGGTAGGGCATTTGCCTTGCACGCAGTCAACCCGGGTTTGATTCCCAGCATCCCATATGGTCCCCTGAGCACCACCAGGAGTAATACCTGAGTGCGTGAACCAGGAGTAACCCCTTTGCATCGCCGGGTGTGACCCAAAAAGCAAAAATTAAAAAAATAAATGTATTAGACTAAGCTTTTTGTAGAATTAGTCTAACTTCTATGGGTAATTCTATATTTAAGCAAGTTTTTAAAAGTAACTCTGATGGACTAGAAAGATAGTTAACAGGGTTAAGGCACTTACCTTGCTTATAGTCAGCCCTGTTCAGTTCCTAGAACTGAATGTGATCCTCCAAGCACTGCCAGTGTGACCACCCTTCCTCCCCAAACACTTTGTATCTGTGACTAAGTGTAAGCTCTGAAATAAATAATTCTTATATGTATATACATATGTATATTGTTTATACATTTATAAAATGTTTAGCTTTTTCTTCAGGCATAGTTGAATATACATTAGTTTTAGTATTCAGTTGTGGCTCAGTTTTTGTAGATTGTGCAATAATTACCAAAATAAGTCTTATTAATACCACCATACCTCACCATAGCATTGTAGCACTATCGGCCCGTTGTTATCAATATGCTCAAGCGGGCACCAGAAACGTCTCCACTGTGAGTCCTGTTGTTACTGTTTTTGGCATATCGAATATATCACGGGTAGCTTGCTAGGCTTTGCCATGTGGACGAGAAACTCAGTAGCTTGCCGGGTTCTCCAAGAGGGATGGAAGAATCCAACCTGGGTCCTGGGTTGGTCGCGTGCAAGGCAAACACCCTATCTGCTGTGCTATCCACCATACCTCACCATACCGACTTAAAATTTTTTCTTTTTTTTTCAGAATTGTATTTTTAGCAGCTTGCGGGTCATCATGCTGTTCATTGAATTCCATGATATGTTTTAGAACTGGAAATTTGTGCTTTTTGATTCCCTTCACCCACTTTCATCTGCCTCCTTTCTGGCAATAGCCAGTGTGTTCTGTGTATATGTAGGGTTTTGTGTTTGGTTTTGGTTTTGGTTTTGGTGTGTTTGTTTTATAGAGCTAACACTTTGAGAGGTGTGGTGTTTGTCTTTCAGTGATTTATTTCACACAGCATAGTGCTTTCAAGATCCATTTCATGTTTGTTTGTTTTTTTAAAGGCTTTATTTCATTATTTTTTTTAATAGCTGAATAATAACTCCAGTATGTGTCTACAAAACAGTGAAGATTTAAGTTTTTTCCATGCTGCAGTCAACCTGAGTGTGCATATCTTTTAGGATTCGTGTTTTATTTTCTTCTAGATAAATTACCATAATTTGGATTGCTTGGAATAGTTTTATTTTTAAATTTTTTAAGAACTGATACTGCCCTTTTTTTTTTTTTTTTCATGAAATACCATGAGGTACAGTTGTGGACATTACAGGTTTTTGTGCTTGGGTTTCAGTTATACCATGATCGAGTACCCATACCTCCACCGCATCCCATCCTGCCTCTGTGGCAGAGCATTCCCTTTTGTTCTCTCTCTCCTTTTGGTTGCTGGGGTTTGCAAAATAGGCATTGAGTGGCAATCATGTTTGGCCTATAGTCTACTTTAACTATGTGTCTCCCATCCTGAGAGGATCCTCACAACACCCTTTACTTGGTGTTCCTTTCTCTATCTGAGCTGCCTTTTCCCTGGCATATGCGACTGGCCTTCAAGCCATGGAGTGAACCTCCTGGTACTTACCTCGACTATTCTTGGATTTTAGTCTCCTGTTTTGTTATTTTATATTTCCCAGATGAATGCAATCTTCCTGTCTGTCCCTCTCTTTCTAACAGCTGCATAGTACTCCATTGTATAGATGTACCAAAGTTTCTTTAACCAGCCATCTGTTCTCAGGCACTCGGATTTTTTCCAGATTTTGGCTATTGTAAACAGTGCAGCAATGAACATAGAAGTGCAGATGCCATTTCGACTGTACTTTTTTGCCTCTCTGGGATATATTCCCAGGAGTGGTATTGCTGGGTCAAATGGGAGCTCAATTTCTAATTTCTTGAGAATCATCCATATTGTTTTCCAAAAGGGCTGAACCAGTCAGCATTCCCACCAGCAGTGAAGGAGAGTCCCTTTCTCACCACTTCCACGCCAACACCGGTTGCCTTTGTTCTTTTGGATGTGGGCCAGTCTCTGTGGTGTGAGATGATATCTCATTGTTGTTTTGATCTGCATCTCCCTGATGATAAGTGATGTAGAGCATTTCTCATGTGCCTTTTAACCATTCAGATTTCTTCTTTGAGAAAGTTTCTGTTCATTTCATCAGTCCATTTTTTGATGGGGTTGGATGTTTTCCTTTTGTGGAGTTCAACCAGTGTTTTGTATATCCTTGATATTAACCCCTTATCACATGGGTATTGGGTGAATATTCTTTCCCATTCTGTAGATTGTCTTTGTATTTTGGTCACTGTATCTTTTGAGGTGCAGAAGCTTCTTAATATAAGATAGTCCCATTTGTTTATCTCTGTTTCCACTTTTATGGTCAGTGGAGTGTTGTCTTTGAAGATACCTTTTGTCTCAATATCGTGGAGGGTTTTGCCGACCTTGTCTTCAGTGTACCTTATTGATTTTGGCCTGATGTTGAGATCTTTAATCCATTTTGATCTGACTTTTGTGCATGGTGTTAGGTCGAGGTCTAAGCCTTTATTTTTGCACGTGGTTGTCCAGTTATGCCAGCATCATTTGTAGAAGAAGCTTTCCTTGCTCCACTTCACATTTCTTGCTCCCTTATCAAAGATTAGATATTCATACATTTGGGGTTGTGTGTACAGATATTCCACCCTACGAACTTATACTGCTTCTTTGTTGACATTCCCACCAACAGGACAGAGTTTTCTCTTTACACATCCTTGCTAGTTTGTTATTTCTTTCTTTTGATATATAGCTATTCTAACAACTACCAGATGATAGTTTATTGTGGTTGATTTTTATTTTCCTGGATGTTGAGTATTTTTCCATGTACGTTTTGGCCTTCTGTGTATCTCATAATTTTTGTAACTCTTTGCTTCTCTGCAAGAGATGGAAAAGTAATTGTAATAAGTAACTCAGGAGCCAGGAAGATAAGTTCGGTTTCCTTGGGCATGTGATTTGCATATGCAAGGACCTGTGTTTGATCCTAGGCAGCACCTGCCACTCCGGCCCTCAACACTGCCAGTTGTAGCCCTGGCAGTGCCAGGGACTATTGAACATCAAGGGAGTGGCCCTGGTGTCCCCGTAGTACCTCAGGGCCAGAGCATTACCTCATCACCAAGCTCTTGTGTTAAATGTTCACCCTGGTTGGCCACTTATCTTCAAGAATGCTCTCTGAGTAACATTTGGGACCCAGCAAACCCCACAAAATAAATACATACACCAGAATACTGAAAGCAAAACACTGTGTGATTATTGAATGTTGTTTATATCAGGGGAAAGTGGTGAATTACTACATTCCATCACATTCTGGAGGAAAAGTAAAAAACAAAGAAACCCAGAATATGGAATATGAACCAAAAGAGAAAGTTCAGTTCCCCCGTAAGTATGAAATCTTTTAAGAAAAAGTTTTCTATGTTGATCTTTCTTTTTCTTTGTATAGTCCATCCTTAATTTTTAATACTTTCTCGTTATAATTTTTATAGCTGTTTGTACTTCTCATAAATGAGTTCAATTCCAATCTAATGAGTAAAGATTTATTCTTTCACTTGACTTGATCTATTCTTGTATAATCTGTTGTGTTTAAATTTATGTAGCTAACAATTTTAATTAGGCCCTGTTTATTCACAGACTTAGTTCAAACTATTCAGATAGTTGAGAGAAGTTTTTTTAATAATGGTAAGTGGCGGTTGCTTTGTAAGATTGACAAATTACTAAGTAACTCTTTAATTTCCATTTCATACATTTATTAATGAGTTAAAATATTTCATTAGTTTTTAAAAAGACAAGTATGCAGACAACATATCTTCAGTGAATTAATTTTTCTTAACATAGCCCTCAGTGAACATAAACTGAGTTGTATTTTTCTTTAATTATTTTGACTGAGTTGACATATCCTTTTACGTTTAGCTACACGTGTAATGATCCTGACAGCCGTGAAAGAACTGAGAGGAAAGAAAGGCGTTTCCATCCTCTCCATCTATAAGTATGTCAGTTCTATATATAGATACGATGTTCAACGAAATAGGAATCTTCTGAAGCGGATGCTGAAATGTTTAATTTTTGAAGGTCTGGTGAAACAAATCAAAGGCAGTGGTTTTTCTGGGACTTTTACATTGGGAAAGAATTACAAGAAAGAGGAAGCATGTAAAATGAAAAAGCAGGTAACAGCATTTATTTAGTATCTATTAAAGTGATAACTTTCGGAATGATTTGAACAATTGCATATTAAACTGACATTCTTATATTCTGAGGTTTTTTTTTTTTAAGGAAAAGTTATAGTTGTGACGTTTTCTGCTTCCTGAATATGTCCCATAGTTTGTATGTTATGTTCTATATAAACTTTTCTATATAAAGTTTTCATTGATTTAGGCAGACTATAAATTGATACTGTAAGAAATTGATACTGAAGTATTAGTGACTTATTTTTTCTGTATTTGTTCTCTTTAAATCATATGTAGCGTTATTTCCCTCCACTTTTCTCCTGCAGACTATAGGGAGCATTATTATAGAAGGCATATTGGGAAATTGATTAAGAGTTATTGTTCTTAGGGAAAGATGTTGCAAAGACTCTATTACATTTTTATGTAAACTGAGGTAAAAATGGAAATTTAATTTCAAAAAGTGTAGCTGTGTTGAAATTTTTCTTTTCTATTTCTTAGGGATTAGGTAGCCCAAGAAAAACTCAAAAAGAAACTAGAAAACCAGACAGCAGAGATACAGATTCTGAATACTTGCCTTCAAATACCTCTGATGATGATGATCAACCTTACTATTCTCACTGTAAGTCCAAGAGAAATCGAGGCAAAATCAGAAAAAAGCCTGGCCCATCCTCCAAAAATGGGAAAAGTCAGCCTCACATCAGTCACGATTCAGAAGATGACCCCACAAGTAGTGCAATTACTTACATTACAGGAGCTGAAGATACAAGCATTTTTACTCTCAGTCAGCAAAATGCCAAAAAGAACCAAGCAGAATCTCTAAAGCCTGTTGCAGATGACGGTGATGATGACGACATTCCAGATTCTGATCTCGGTCCCTTCTGTTCCTCTGATTATCGCTTTGAGTGCATATGTGGTGAACTTGGCAAAAGGGACCAAAAAGCTCGTGTTCAGTGCCTGAACTGCCACCTCTGGCAGCATGCCAAATGTGTGAATTATGAAGAAAAGAACCTGAAGATCAAACCTTTTTACTGTCCCCACTGCCTGGTCGCGATGGAGCCCGTCTCAACGGGAGCGACTCTCATCATCTCACCCAGCTCTATCTGCCACCAGTGGGTGGATGAAATCAACAGGCATGTGAGGTCATCGTCTATTCGTGTCTTGGTAATGCATTTTGATCTCTCTAGAGGGTTAAGAAAATTTTTTAAAAAATATGGCAGTTACTGCAATCTTTGTTTATCTAAAAAATTAAGATAATGGAACTTTATGAAATTGAGAATGGGAAGAAGAACCATAGACTTCCTAATCTTTTTTAGTGTCAGGAATTGCTAAAGCATTTGGAATGAGAAGTAAGAATTTTGAAAAAACTCTCAATCATACAAATTGAAGTCTGTAAAAGCATTTATGTACTCTGAGAAATGCCATCTCAAGTATAGGTAATAGTACTTATCTTATCTCTTAGGTTCAGAAATGGTATCTGAATTGTCAGTTACTGTATCATTGAACGTTTAAGACTTACTCATTTGTGAGATCAGAGTTGTAGTACAACAGAAAGGATATATGCCTTGCATGTTGCCCACCTGGATTCGATCCTCAGCACCCTGTATTGTCCCTGAGCACTGTTGAATGTGGCACAAAAGCAAATATTCTTAAATGTTTTTATTGAATACCTGTTATGTGCCAGAAATTGTGCTAGGTAAAATATTCTTAAACGTTTCTATTGAATACCTGTTATGTGCCAGAAATCATGCTAAGTTCTAAAAGTAGTACCCCCACAAGGACTTAACTGTGAATAATTTGATAAAATGCTGGCACATAACTTCATTTTGTGTTATTTACAGATATGAATACTTTTCACTCCCTTTATTACTATGTAAATGTTATCAAAGATGTTATATATTTTAATAATACTACAATTAGGTGTGATGTATAGAGTAATAAGTAAATAGTACATCTTTGCCATTGAGGATCAAATTCTGGGGTTGATTCAAACCTTGGTTTGAATTTTGCTTCTACCAGTTTTGAGGTCTCTTCGTGCTTCCTATGTATGGGCTAGAAATATTAACAACTTCTAACAGAATAGTTGGACATGGGATTTAAAGCCTACATGATGTGTAAAATATAAAAGGCAGTCATTATAGTAGTTCCTAATTGTTCTTTGTGATTCCTTTGTGCTTTTATGCATATTATTGATTCTTTCTACCCAAAGTCATTTTTTCTAGTGACAACTTCTAAATGTTCTCAAGATGCATCTAAAATTTTATTTCTGTATTTGTCTCCTCGTCCTTAGGATTGATTTTTCCACTGTGATGCTGTCACATTTACTTTCATTATAGTTTCTCATTGCATGTGTTATTACTCTTCCACACTAAACTGTAACTTTCCTACACAACTAAGAAATGTGTCTCATTGCCTGTTTTGTCCTGAACATGTAGAGTGTGCATGTAAATAATTTTGCAGTTGTCTTCATTGAGCCCTTCTCAATAATTCTGCTTTTGCTGATTATTTCCTAGGTATATCAAGGAGTAAAGAAAGATGGCTTTTTACAGCCCCATTTTTTGGCAGAGCAGGATATAGTTATCATTACCTATGATGTTCTTCGTTCAGAACTCAACTATGTAGATATCCCACACAGTAACAGTGAAGATGGGCGTCGGTTGCGGAATCAAAAGCGCTATATGGCCATTCCCAGCCCCCTCGTAGCTGTAGAATGGTGGAGAATCTGCCTTGATGAAGCTCAGATGGTTGAATGTCCTACTGTAAAAGTGAGAAATTCTTTATAAACTTTTGAGAACTAAGGGAAAAAGAAGTGAGTGGGAGAGGGAGTTGGGGTTTATTGTCATTGAAATGTAATTCTTTTTATTACAGAATTGATACAATTTAAAGTTTGCTATTATGCACTGTAGATTTGCCTTGCTCTTCTGCTACAAACTATCTTGTACTCCTATTACTCTAACTGATGCTCATATATATATATATATATATATATGTATATATATATATATGTAACCAAGATGGTAATACATGTGTGACAGACAAAAGCAAACTATTCAGAACTTTCATAAGGATTTCAGCTAAGTGGAAAGCATAGTTCTTCTAGTTCTGGGCCGAAGTTGACTTTGTGGCTCTTTTATTTTCCTAACCTATTGGTAGCAGAATATGCTACTGTAGGGAATTGAATTTTAATCCAGCTCTTGTTTCAAGGGCGTTCGCCTTACAAGCGGCCAACATGGCCGACCCGAGTTCGATTCCTCCGCCCGTCTCGGAGAGCCCGGCAAGCTACCGAGAGTATTTGATATGCCAGACACAGTAACAACAAAGTCTCCAATGGAGACGTTACTGGGCCCGCTCGAGCAAATCGATGATCAACGGGAGGGCCTTGTTTCAAGACCAAATGTCTCTAGAGCATGCAGTAGCAGTCATTCTGGAAATATTTTCACTCTGTGCATGCTGGAACTATTTTGCTTCATAAGAGTACAGGACAGCCTCGAGAATCACTGTCATGATGATGGCCCATTGACTGCATTGAGGGCAATAACTTAAGAGTATATATTAAAAGGGAGTTGGAGCATAGCTTCTTGGATTTTGTTTTCATGCATGAACATATTCCTAACAATTTTTTCCTGTCTTTCATTCTTCTTTTTATTTCATCATTTTCTCTTACCAGGCTGCAGAAATGGCTCAGCGCTTAAGTGGGATAAATCGCTGGTGTATTAGTGGCACTCCAGTGCAGAGAGGACTGGAAGGTAATGTATGGTTTTCTCATACTGCCTATACTTAAAAAGTTAAATTTTCTGTTGAGGCCGTACCATCTTGTAGAATCTTCTGTCAGTGCTTGGACTTGGTACAGGAGCAGGGTTTGGAGAGAAGAAAGCATATATGTAATGCCTGGGCTCAAAATGAGGGGCCCATGCACTCCAGGCATGTGCTCTGCTGTTTGAGCTATCCCCTGAAGAAAAGGGGTTTTGAAGAAAACGTTTTGTTACATTTAACCTTAACTGAAATTCCTAAATAATTATGCCTCTGTTTCTGTTTGATTCCATATAGTTTGAAGCACTAATATTTTTTTTTTATCTTTTTTTTTTTAATTTTTTTATTTTATTTTATTTTTTTTAAAGTTGTAGATTTACAATTTTTTGTGCTTTGGTTTCAATTATACAATGATCAGATACCCATCCCTCCACCAGTGCCCATTTTCCACCACCATGGATAATATCCCTCCCACCCCCATCCCCCCATCCCCCCTGTCTCTGTGGCAGGGCAATCCCCTGTGTTCTCTCTTTCCTTTTGGGTGTTGTGGTCTGCAAAAGAGGCATTGAGGAAGCACTAATATTTTTAATAGATCGAGTATTTTATATGGCATCTCTGCAGCGAACTGCTCGGTTCCGAGATCCTTTTGTGTGTCCACAAAGAATATTTTCTATATTTTCATTTCAGTTTTTTTATTTCTTCCAAAACTGTTAGCATCTTTTAACACTTCGATTGTTGCAGTGCATCTGTTTTTTTTCATATTGTTGCAGTGCAGTCATAAAGCTGCTATGATTTCTATATCTTACTTAAAACGGAAACCTCAGTTGTCTTTTTGTTTGTCCAGGGTTTCTCACCTTTGACGCCCTTAAGATTTTGAAACAGATCATTCTTTTTCGTTAGGAGCTAACCTGCGCATTTTACAATGGCTAGCTCTACCACTGGGTGTCAGTAGCACCCCTGCAATTGTGACACCCACAAATCTCTAGACATTGCCAAATATCCCCGGGGGGGGGCAAATGACACCCATCTATTCCACCTTGTGCTCGACAGTGGTAAATTGTATTTGATGATCTGTTAATTAGCAACATTCCAGGCATCTTTCGAATCCCAAATTATGCCTCATATTGAGCAAGGAAATGAAGCTAGGAAGTTTTTATTCCTCTACTTGCTGAATTTTTAGTATGTTCTGTAGAAAGGCTGAAATAACATCTTTGTACTTGCAAAGTCAGGTGGTCGTGACCATTGCCCTCCTCTGCTCGCCCTATCTATGTTTGTTTCTATAATAGCCCGAGTATTGGCTTAGGGAGTTATATGAACCTGGGTTCGCATCCAGAGTTATTCATCATGTCTATAAACAAATTACTTACATATTTTAATTCTTTACGTGTTTTCAAGATTTCAAAATTAAACATTATTGGGCAAGTCATCTAGCACATTATGTAAAAGACATTAAGTATTCAGTGAACTGCTTACATTATTTCTTTTTTACATATTCACTTACTGTCATTTCTTTGAAAATGTTTGCTTTAAGTGATGTAAGTACTTTGTTGGTATACTTATGAGTTCCTTTATTTGTTAAGTAGTGGGCAAAAAAAAGTATACAATGTCTGAATCTGTTGAGCTTACTGCCTATCAGAAAAGCTATGTTTATTAAATATATGGACAAATATAACTCATATGAGGTAAATACAGAATTCTTCCTATTATACATTTCAAAAAACAAAGGCTGTCTAGTTCTGTGACATTGCATGATAGTGTGCAGAAGAATGTGACAGCTGAACTGACATCTGGAACAGTGTGAACTAGGTAAAGAGGGGGTGAAGAATTTTCTAAGATAACTGAAAATATATGGCAGGAGGAGACTGAAGTGTTTAATGTGGCTAAATTACAAAAGATAAGCTTTTATAGACTGGTATGACTGTGGAGAATGCCATAGGCCGGGGTAAATATTGGTAGGATTAAAGCAGAGTGGTTAGGCATCATCTTGGATTGCATTTGTATTTCAGAAGATGCCTAGGTGTAATGTGGAGAATGATTTAGAAGTAGGGCAGAATAAAAATTGTATCGGCTGTCCTCGCCAGGGCCCCTTGGAGGGGAGCGGGTTGAGTTTCCCTCCCCACCCCGAACAGGGCTCCAGCAGCCGAAGACCTCCAGAACCAGTCACCACCATGCTGAGACCACTCTCCACATGCATGAAGGTACCGGCAGAGGAACAAAGGCATGTGGGTCCTGGGGCAGAGATCTCCAAGCCTGCTCGGATCGGGGCTGAGCATCCTCCACCCAGATCTTCCATATTCCAGTAGGCAGGGGTCATACCCACCAACTGGCCCCCTGGTGCTGTGTAATCCCATCAACAGCCAAGACCCAGAGATTATAAAACCCAGCTCCCGGAAGCAACATCTTATTATCTCATTCTTACTTTGGACAAACTGGCAGGCTACTGAATGTAACCTGCCCACACAGCAGAGTCTGACAAACTCCCCGTGGCATACTCAATATGCCAAATACCAGTAACAATGATGGCTCTCATTCTCCTAACCCTGAAAGAGCCTTGAATATGGCACTTTTTTAAAAAATCTCAGGGCTAGGACAAAGGAGATGTTATTGGGGCCTGCTCAAGGCAGTCGACGAACAACAGGATGGTTATGATCGTGATCGGTTGGTTGAGGCTTTGTATTTGGTCTGGGTTGTCCTGAGGAAACAGAAAGAAGTAGATCAAGAAAAATAAACCAACCTTAGTGATGATCCAAGGAGATTCCAAGACTATTCGCTTGCTTAATTCCACAGATGGTGATGGCATTCATCAGTGGATAGCATGAGAAAATAAGTATTTTTGAGAATAAAAGATTATGAATTTGGAATTTGATTTGGTGTGTTGAGTGTAATGTACTTTTAAGACCAGAAAGGAAAAGACGCACGTAGGCGGGTGAATTGATCTGAGCAGAAAATACACACCTGAGATGCCTGCGTTTCGGTGATGGTTCTTCAGATGTTACTCCAGAAGCATCAGAGTAACTTCATTCAGCCTAAATTCAACTTAATATGTGTTAGCCAGTTTCAGAATGTTCTGAAATGACCCATGGCTTCCCCCCCCCACCCCCCGCATTTTTGTTTGTTTTGTTTTTTTAACCTTTTTTTTGTGACAGTGCTGGAATCCTGAAGTCCAGGGTCTCAGAATGGCAAGTGTTCTGATGCTTGGCTGTGAACCCAACCCTGAACCATGTTGTTGTTGTTGTTTTTTTTTTTTCTTAAATGACTCTAAGGAGATTTGTCCGTTGTGAATATGCTAAATAATACAGAAAGTTTATCTACATTTGGGGGTTATTGCATTTGTTACAAGCTCATACTGCATACATAATTTTATGTTATCTTCTTTTCCCTCTTAACATGATATCCAAACTGGTCTTCATAAGTCTTTTCTTATTTTTGAAACTATTCATAGATATGTGGGTAACTTCTTAAGAGTATTACTGTTAAATGACAAAAAAAGCAAGTAGGGGACAGGGAAAATAGTTCATTAGGGTTAGGGCATATGCCAGACCCAGTTATGATTCTGGTACCACGTGACCTCCCAAACATTTAAGTTAGCCCTAGAGGACTTTGGTCCACCAGCATGGTGGCAGTGGTGCTTCCTGGAAGCGAAAGGACAAGCAGCCTGCATCCTTCTTTCTTATCACTGCCCTCGTGACACGGTTGACCAAAGTATGACCTGGACTCGCCCCCAGGTCACTTGAACACCACTTGGAATACCCCCCAAAGACAAAAAGGATTGAAAGTTGAGTGTCCCACACCAAGAGCTATGTAAGAATTACCATGTCTGCATCTGAGTCAGGAAACCAGATTCTTGATATGGGGAGGGAAGAACTGGAATTTTTTCAGTAATGCTCTTGGAGTCATTTTTATTCTATATATTGTTGCTTTGTGCTTCACTGTGAGGTTAATAGTGTTTCTTATTTCAGTGCTTCACATTACTGTCTTGGACTTTTTTTCTAGAGTAGGGCTGGAGCGATAGCACAGCGGTAGGGCGTTCGCCTTACAAGCGGCCAACATGGCCGATCCGAGTTCGATTCCTCCGCCCCTCTCGGAGAGCCCGGCAAGCTACCGAGAGTATTCGATATGCCAGACACAGTAACAACAAAGTCTCCAATGGAGACGTTACTGGGCCCGCTCGAGTTGTTAAAGGGTGGGAGAGGAATATTAAATCACTGATTTTTCTCCACGTCACCTATATGAATAAAATATGCCCCCAGTTCAGCTTGTCTGGTGTTCATTGATTTTGGTGTCGCATACTTAATCTACCTCTTGATTAGGCACACTCCATTGTTTCTTTTTTCTCTCATTTCTAATGAAAACTTTAGTTTTTTTTATTACCTAGAAGTGTAATAGTTTTACTAACTTTAAAGCATCTTGCTTCTAGCACAAAACCTACTATAAAATACTCAAAACTATAAGTTGAACTGAAAACAACATTCAGATTTGAGAACTGTAACGTATGAAAAAAGTTATTCAGAGTAGTAGTAAAGGAACTAAAACAATTCTCAGTAGTTTTGTTGTCTTTTTTTTTTTTCCATTTCAGATCTCTTTGGGTTAGTGGTTTTTCTTGGTATTGAACCTTACTGTATCAGACACTGGTGGGTTCGGCTTCTCTATCGCCCTTACTGTAAGAAGAATCCTCAGCTTCTGTACAGCTTTATCGCCAAGATACTTTGGAGGTCTGCAAAAAAAGATGTGATTGACCAAGTCAGTATGAGCTTTTATTTCTCCTTTTCAGTTACGGGCATTAAGAAACAGTGGGAATGAAAAATTTGATTTCCAGGTGAAATCATTTTCCCATCTCCTTTCTCCAGATTCAGATACCCCCTCAGACGGAAGAAGTTCACTGGCTCCACTTCTCTCCAGTGGAAAGGCATTTTTATCACCGTCAGCATGAGGTGTGTTGCCAAGATGCCGTTGTAAAACTCAGGAAGATTTCTGACTGGGCCCTGAAGCTCAGCAGCCTGGACAGAAGGACTGTCACCTCCATCCTGTATCCATTGCTGCGACTCAGGCAGGCCTGCTGTCATCCACAAGCTGTTCGTGGGGAGTTTTTGCCACTGCAAAAAAGGTATGATCAGTTTCCATAGAGTGCACTTGATAACAGTAATGGGCAGTACTTCAGCGCTTTGTTTCCTAGCCCACAGTGGACTCAAGGCAGTGTTCTTTCCTTTTTATACGGATGCTGCTTTCAGGGCTTTTTAATTTGTGTGTTTTTGGTTACACTCTAGATGTGAAAAATTTGTGTTACTGTTTTTCAGACATCAGGGTATTACATGGTTGGAAACTATTTTAGTTTTTTTATAATTGTGCTAAATATATCTGTTGTTTCTTTTTAATTAAGGTGTGTACAACACTCAGATGTCCCAGATCTTTCTTTTTTTTTTTTTTTTTGACTGCATCATACTGTAACTCTGACACTGGCTGGGGTTTTTTGTTGTTTATTTTTAACCTGATATTAAAAAGATAATCTTCGAGATCATAATAAAATCACCCCAAAAAAGGGATTCTTATCCTTTAAGGAGTTTATAAACTAACTCTGAAAATAATTTTTATATAAATGATTGCACAGTATTGTGATGTAAGTAGCATTTGTTCTGATCCTGGATGAATAGTCTTTTTACAACAGAAAAAAGAAATTCAGTCTTCTAAAACTTAATCAAATTATAATGCTGAGATTTGGACTTTTGTCCTAACACCCAACTGTTTCAATTATATCATTTATATTTTGTATCTTAAATCTAATTCTTTTCTCCATGAACTGAAATGGAAAAACATTAAAGAATAGGGGGAAGGGATTAAATAAAATTGTTTAAAGTGATAATGGTAAAAATGAAGGTGAAGAGAAAGATACTGAAGATAATAGATTCCAAAGAGTCTGATATTATTGACCTTATATCGTACTATATGAGGGGCCAGAGCGATAGCGTAGCAGATAGGGTGTTTGCCTCTCATATGGCTGGACCCGGGTTTGATTTCACCACCCCTCTCGGAGCGCCTGGCAAGCTACTGAGAGTATTCCGCCCACGCGGCAATGCCTGGCAAGCTACCTGTGATGTATTTGATATGCCAAAAACAGTAACAAGTCTCACAAAGGAGATGTTACTGGTGCCCGTGCTACAGTGCAGTGCTGCTATATGAGATTACACTAGGACCTTTTTCCTATTCCTGAACAATCTGCCTTTTCATTTAGCACCATGACGATGGAAGAGCTGCTGACATCTCTGCAGAAGAAATGTGGAACTGAGTGTGAAGAAGCACACAGGCAGCTAGTGTGTGCTCTCAATGGCTTGGCAGGCATCCACATCATTAAAGGTAGAAGGTGATTGCTTTGTTACCTCTGGTTCTGTTAAATGCTTAAGTTTATAACAAATCAAAATACTCCCCAAGAAACATATTCTCACATCCAATTATAACCTATTAAACTCATCTACAGGAGAGTCATGTAGAATATTTCTAAGCAGTCAAAGTTTACATATATAGAGGCCAGAGCAGTAGTGCAAAAGGTAGGGCACTTGCTTTGCATGCAGCTGACCCAGATTCAATCTTCGGCACACAAGATAGTCTCCTACGTCTACCAGGAGTGATCCCTGAGTGCCGAGCCAGGAGTCAGCCCTGAGTACCACCAGATGTGCCCCCCCCCCCCCCAAATGTTTATATGTGCTTTTGTCAAATTTTTCTGCTTTCAGAAGATTTTCTTAAAAGGAACTGAGGTGTAAACAGAGACTTGGCTGTGTTCTCTGACCACCAGAATGAAATACCCCTTTGTGGAATCACCATTTATTTGGAAATTAACACTTTAAAATAATCCTTGAGTAGGGCATTTGCCTTGCATGAAGCTTACCCAGGTTTGACACCCTGTATGGTCCCCAAAGCTTACCAGTAGTGATCTCTGAGCACTGAACCCATATGGTTCCCAAAGCCCACCAGAAGTAAGCTCTGAGCATCATTGGGCATACCAAAAAACTTTAAAAAGTCTAAAGTAGTAGGAAATATTTTGAAATGAATTAAAATATATCCAGGTTCCTGAATTGTAGCAAATTAGGAATTAAAAGAAAATTTCTGAGACATAAAAACCTAGATTGAAAATGTTAAAATAGTAACCAGATCATTTGAAAAACTAGAAGTACCCTAGGCAAAAGAACAATAATAATAAAGCAAAAGAGTGGAAATAATTAAAACAAAAACAGGGCCAGAGCCATAGTGTAGCAGGTAGGGAATTTGCCTTGCATATGGTCGACCAGGGTTCAATCCCCAACTCAGGCGCGATCCCTTGAGTCCCGCCAGAAGTGATCCCTGAGTGTAGAGCCAGGAATACATGGCCAGATGTGCCCCCTTCCCCCGCAAAAAGAAAAAAATCTGTTTATGAATCTGTTGAAAGGAAAACAAAAATTAATGGGGGAAAGCAATAATGAGTAAAGACTATTCTTTAATGAACGATAATAAAAATCTTTGAACTTCTAATCAAAGCTGTTCAAGGAAACGACATGAAACTATTATTAGGAATGAGAGACCAGATATCAGATGCTGTGAATACTTAAAAATATCCTAAAAAAATACATAATCAGCTTTAAGTCATAAATCTGACAACTTAGATGAACAGACAAATGGCTTCAAAATAAAACTCACGAAGAAAATCTGCCTAAAGAAGAAATGGATATGGGTGTGGGCACCCAAAAAAGAAAAAAATAGATCTACTTGGCCGTATAATAATGTTGTAGTTAAAGAACAGTCCTCCCCAAAGTTCTAGATTTTGATGACTGTATTTAATAATAGCAAACCTACACAAACGTACTAAAAGTTGAAATGTAAGAAATGTGTGTTATTTTGAGGTGGCATTGTTTTAATTCCAAAACAAACTTGTCATTATGAAAAAGCAAGGCTACAGATCATTATCTCTCAACATATGTGCAATTTTGTTTTGTTTTGATGACCGGTCCTGGGGATGCTCAAGGATCACTCCTGGCAGTGCTCATGGGACCATATGTAACACTGGGGATTTTGGCCCTGAGTTGGCTGCACACAAGGAAAGTGCCTTACCATCATTATTGTCTGTAGCACTGTAGCTCTGCCTTCCCATTGTTCATCAGTTTGTTCGAGTGGGCAACAGTAACATCTCCAATGTGAGAATTGTTACTGTTTTTGGCATAGCGAATAAGCCACAGGGAGTTTTCCAGGCTCTGCCATGCGGGCGGGATATTCTCGGTAGCTTGCCGGGCTCTCTAGAAGGAATTCTCGGAGGAATCGAACCTGGGTGGGCCGTGTGCAAGGCAAATGCCCTACCCGCTCCAGCCCACCATCATACAATTTATCTAAATTGTTTCCTGCCAAATTGTTTCTTTCACTTTAACAAAATTATAGAGTTGGAGCAAAGATGGCCAATCAGGGCAACCTGTGAAATGTGCCAGGTCAAAAATGCAGCAAAACAAAAATAACCAAAGAATCCCAGTGATTGCTCTGCAGAGGAGGAACATGGCAGTACTAAGATCTCTGAGAGTTTCTACACGTGAATAGCTGCTCCACAATAAGGTAACTGAACGTGCAACTACAGCAGATGCCTTGGGACAGGTGGCGATGGATGTTGTAGCTGACCGCATGACATGGTGCACAGTGTTGTCTGAACTGCAAACTCATCTAGGGTCTTTTGGCTCTCCATATGTGTGAGGCCTGGACTGGAAGCTCGCCCAGCGATCCCAGACTCCCAAGCAAGTCCCCCCCAGAAAAGGTGCAGTGTTGTGATCTCAGGCACAGAAGTCTATTCCCACTACTTTAGGCAGTGCCTTCTAGCCTTAAGTGGCATCAGGCAAAGCCCCATCTCATCTCCCTAGTTAGAGTTGAATTAGAGGGAAGTATGAGGATTACCAGGGAATTGTCAACCCAACACTGAGATCTAAAGCAGCAGGATCAGGGTGAGACCCTGGGAACTTTATATACAAGGAACCAAGTACAGATTCATGCTGCAGAGGCACAGCAGCAGCTGGATACAGTAAGGACACAACAAGTTCATGATGCAGTTGGTAGAAACAAGCTTTAGATTGTTACCCCAACTTGTCCAAAGCTAAACCCTCACCCATAGCTTTCCATGGGAATGAAGCAGCATAGGAGTGCACCAAAGTTAGTGAGCCAAGATAATAGTCCAGAAGGGTCCCCTCCGCACCCAGTCGCCTCTTCAGAGCAACATTGAAAAGGCTGTTTAATGAGCTGAAAAAATGTATAGTGCAAATTATATCTCCCATAACAAAATCAAAAATAAGAGGATATGAGAAAACTATAATGACAAATCGTAGAACTGATAAGCAGGTAGGTGAACTAAAAAACTTATTGGAATGTCTCAGTAATAGAGTGGTAGAAACTGAGGAAGTGAGTGTGTAAACTCAAAAAGACAGCAGCAGCTGCAGTGGCCTATCTCTCCCATTGCCCGTGTTCGGTAGCCTCATGCTGCTTCCCCCACCCCAGGGAGGTCGATGGCGATGAGCAAGGGAAGGAAGGAACGAGGGCCAGGTTGGTTGGTCTTAGTTGCAGTTTATTCCATTCCCATCTCCATTCTCCTCTGACTCTCCTCCTGCTTCTTCCTCCCCCATGCTACTTCGTTCACCTTCTGGCTCTGGAATCCGGGTCCCCTTTCTCTTCCTTCTGGAGTCTGGATCCTGATCCCCTGAATCCTGATCCCCTTTCTCTTCCTCCTCTGGAGTTTTGATTCTGATCCCCCAGCCCACTCTTACAGTACAGTTAAATCCCAAAGCATGAGGGGTTGGGGTAACAATTACACGTAGGTGTGATCACAATCAGTAGGGGTAAAGTTCTTTCCCTCCAGGAAAGCCGCTGCTTCTAGGACAGATACTCTCTCAGCAGGATAAACCACCCTAGAGGAATCCCATGAGTGTGTTTCTCCTCTCCTTGTCCAACAAACATAAAAGCAATAAATCATTTTGTATGGATACAGTAAGAAATACCTTAAGCATATAGAATTGCTCTCCTAGGACCATCTCGATCTCAGCCTACAGTGCTCAGGCCAGATAGTCTTTCCTATCCCTATCAGGGTCCTAGTCTCATCGTTACATTTGTATCATGACAGCATCTGTCCATGATCAAGCTCTTACAGTTAAGTATCGTGGCACTTTGGCCTGACCCATTTCGATGCCAGGGTAGCTCACAGCTTGCCCTGGGTTCATTCAGTCCCTCGTCATGACCCTGCTTTTGGGGTGTAGGAACTAAGGGCAACTGAGGCTTAAGTCAAGAAAGCAGATGCCCGGAGTGAATAATACTCAAAGCCAATTAAATCCTAAGTTATAAAGCATAATATTAACTGCTTCCCGTATCTATACAAAAAGGACATTGCTTTGAAGTAAACTTCGTAAGACATAAGGAGGGGAGAAAGGCAGTATTAAATTACAGTACAATTTCAGTGTCCTAGACGGATCTGACCTTACAAATTAAAAGAGTCCGATTAGGGGGAAAAGCTGATTAACTGGTTGGGGAAGAGAGCAGAGAGAAGTGGTTACAGATGAATGAAGGAATGGGAATGACTCGGGAACACTGTGATGGGGATAACCTGATAAACCTAAGCTCCTTGTGGCAAGGGAGAAAGGACAAAGCAATGTCATCCTACAAGTGAGCTTGAAGACAAGACACAGGAAACAGAATAGAAAATGGGAAAAGTTTGAAAAGAAATGAGGAAAATACCCCAAGTTATGGGATAAGTTCAGGAGGGAAAATATACAAATCTTAGGCATCCCCAAGGAGTAGAAGGACAGATTTATCACATATTCGGTCACGGTCCTCCCGTTGTTCATTGATTTACTCGAGCGGGCCCAGTAACGCCTCCATTTTGAGTCTTGTTGTTACTGTGTTTGGCATATCGAATACGTCACGGGTAACTTGCCAGGCTTTGCCGTGCGGGCGAGATACTCTCGGTAGCTTGCCGGGCTCTCCGAGAGGGGCGGAGGAATCGAACTCGGGTCGGCCATGTTGGCTGCGTGCAAGGCAAACGCCCTACCACTGTGCTATCGCTCCAGCCCAATCACATATTATTGAAGAAATTATAACTGAGAATTTCTTCTGAGGATTGAACTCGCATCAAAGAGGAAAACTTGAAGACATTATTTTTAAAGATAAAAGTCAAAGGTATAGAATCCTGAGAGCAGCCGTTTCAAAGAAGGAACTTAAAGAGAATTCCACGCTGGAGCGATAGCACAGTGGGTAGGGCATTTGCCTTGCAGCGGCCGACCCAAGTTCGATTCCCAGCATCCCATATGGTCCCCCAGTACTGCCAGGAGCAATTCCTGAGTGCATGAGCCAGGAGTAATCCCTGTCCA